CCGCCTCTGTCCTGCCTGGTCCTCCCCGGGCGAGTCGCAAGGAGGGAACTGCTGGGCGAATGGCTTTGTCTTTCTCTAGCCTTGACCGCTTGCTCGGAGGGAGATCTGTCCCTCCGTCCCCCTCCCGAGATAATTGCTGCTTTTTAAGTTTGTCAACAAGCGCGCTTCTGCGGCCTCCGCGCAGCGAGGATCTCTGGCTGCTGTGGACAGAAAATTGTTTCACTAGTAGAGTGGCAAAAATAAAGGCTTTATTCAGCTCTGTGATAAATTGTAAAAGACGCTAATTCCTGACTCTGCAAGGTAGAATGCACGATCTTCCAAAGGGGCACACACGGCTTGCAGGTGTTGTAAATTACGAAGAGCCGGAGCTCCCAACCATTTTCTGTCACAGGGCTGCATCTGGTGGTTTATTATTTGACATAGATTCTGCTAACTTTTGTTTAGTACCATGCAGCAACGACATTAATTACGAAGGTAACCTCAAAGATAGTAGCTAGAGGCGTGATTTTCCCACCGTCTTTGTGAAAAATAGTTCAGTGACTGCTTTTGGTTTGCATTCATTAAGTGTCATCCAGTGAGCCATTCTCATGCAAGTAATCTTTACTTGGCGGGTAAATCCTTTGGCATCGACGTGAGAAAGTCCAGCAGAGTCAGGCTCTTTTAACCACAGAACTCATGTAGATTTTGAGGAGTCTGTGGCATTTCTCTCAGAGTGAGATTTACGCAGCTGTTATCATGTTCGGGGCTTTCTTTGCCATTTATTTTCAGACCAGAAAAACAAAATGATCTTGCTCTGGTTAACTTCTGGGGGTTTTTTGCTGGTTTGGTTTTTTTTTGTTTGGTTTTTTTTGGGTTTTTTTGTTTTTTTTAATGAGACTAATCTACTGTATTGTGAGGAAATTTGGGTCTGCTCCAGCAAACCCCTTTCTTCATGGAATTGCCTTGTACATGGCTGAAAGGAAATAACTAGCTTCAGTAAGATCGGGAAGGTTTCTCACTTTTAAAAAAGTACAGTTGCCAAGGCATTTCGCTGTCTAGGATGTAATTTTATCTAAAAGGAACCTGTTTTTAATATGGTAGCTTCTCATAAGATATAAGACAAAGAGAATATATACTAGCTATCTTTAAAGCCAAACAATTTTCTACGCGTAAGAACATTGATCTCCGTTCTCCACCAGCCTTCACTGGAGAAAATCTCTGGCTTTCATGGAAGTTTAGTTCAGGAGCAGAATGCCCAGGTGAGGTTTCTGACTGAATGCTAAAAGAATTTTAAAATAGTAAGTAATACTGTAAAATATATTTGCAACATTTGCTTTTCATGTTGTAGGAATCAAATGCTTGACGCATGGGGTGAATACTTTCAGGGAAGATGAATCATATGGTCATAGATGTTCTATGTATTCTCAATTAGTCTACATTAAAACTGTGTATTCTTACTTAACAGCAAAACCAGCCGTAGTAACTGAACTCATACTACTTGAACCAAAAAATAATTGGGCACTAACATCTATGAGAAACTTGACTGGCTAACATCTCTAGCTACTTGAAGATGAAAGTGAGTATTAGCCATAGTCGCCCCTTAATGCTTGCAAATAGAGGATCGAAGTTATTGGAGTTTAAGACTGAAGAAGGAGGTAGTTCAGGCTAAGGGTGAGGAGTTGCCTTCACTGAATTTATGAAAAGGAAAAAAAAAAAGAAAAAAGAAAAGGAGAGAGATCAAATTAATGACCTGTGATAAATCCAGACTAGAACTGTTTGCATTAAAAAGGAAGTAGGTGATTGTGAACTTGCTTGTGCTTGTTTTGTGAAGGGAAGGGGAAATTTGTCATCTTGTTTTGAAGAGCCATACATAAATACACATGAAAGGAGTTTGCATGGTTTACAGCAGGGGAGACATAAAATGTTTTAGGATTAAATTGACCTGAGCTAATACATGCCTCGAATCCAACTAGTTTGCAAGAGCACATTGTTATACTACCCAAACAAATGTTTTGTGTATAGTATCTGATTCCCATACACTGTAGCAGAGTGCTGAAAGCAGCCAGCCAGGTAAATTCTGGAAAATAACATTCAACTCCATTAGACGCAGCATATGCTAGATGAAAGTTGAACTGTACTAAACCAGAAGTTTTCACTATCCTGATTTGATTCAGATGCTGCAGTATTTTACTTCCTGCTCTTCATTTATTGCGGAGGTAAATCCTTAGCCCTTATCCTTCCCAGACTCATTCACCCAGGTAAGCTTTGCTGACCTAGCGAGAGTAGACAGTTGCTGGTATATTACTCAAATAGGGCCTCTTTTTCATGTTTAGGCCCCAATCTGAAAATGCTGTTCTCTGTTGGGAATCAATACTTGGTGAGGACCTGAAGGTGTCTTACAAGTACATTTGCTCTGGATCGACCTTCAGCGTTAAAAGTTGGACCTAGGTGTGTGTGTTATGGAGCAAGTCATGTCTGACAAATTGTGACAAGCTTTGTCTTGATGGGGCAACAGAAGAATAAGAGGAACACCCAGTGGTTTTTACTGGTGACCGTTTGAGCATTTTATGCTCATTAATTCTGTGTATCAGGATTACTCTGAGGTGGGTGAGGCATAGGCAGAGATCATTTTGGCAGTAAGATACAGTCAGTAGTAACATGGAGTCTAGCTGCTGATAAACAGCATACAGCAACCATGAACAGTGTGCAAAGGCAGAAAGAAGCAGCTGGGGGAAAGCCTGGGCCTGAGACTGGCACCCCTCTATGGGAATGTTTTAATTTTTGGTCTGTCACACCAGTCTCTTGAGTGAGGAATAGCTGAGATGTGCGTAGGGTCCTCAAAGGCAGAGTTGGACTTCCACAGTTCAAGTCCAAACCTGGCAGATGGGAGTTTGCTCATCTTTATTTTCTTTATATGCTGTGTTGTGAGACAACTAAGCCATTACCTGTGGCCATGGAAATAACCGAACGTTCACGTTTATACAGTGTTAAGGCAACTTTAATTGTCCATGGTGAACGATGCTTTGGGTTTGTGTCTTGATTGCAACATGGCAAGTATGGCAGCACAGCTCCAAGACACTGCTTTAGCATTTAAAAGGAAGAGTGCCACCTACTGTGTTACGTTTATACATATTGCATGTCCCACGTGTCTTCTGGAGTTTCCAAGCTGCTCGTTTGCCTACCCTGTTTTAGCAGCTGGAAGATGTGAAAGGGTTCAAAATTAAATATGGCATGGGAACTGAGGGAGTTAAAAAAAAAAAAAAAGGAGAGGTATGCACCTATAGCAGCAGGGTATTCTGGAAGTTCTAGGAGGGTTCATTGAAAGACAGGCATAGAGGCATTTGCAGTTTTTGTCGCTTCAGACTTATAAA